TTCATCATTTTTGGTGTGTAGGTAGCTGAGAGAGAGTTGTACATGATTAAAATGCAAATTATGCAAATGAGGACTTAATTCGCATAGTTAATGTGGGAATTCTATAATTACAGTGTTTTATATAATGGTACTGCTATACATGTAATCTATTTAATCTGTGGCAGGCGGAACATTAACAGATACCAATTATGCAAATGATGACCTAATTTGAATAATTAATGTGAAAATTTCATGACTCCTTATTGGTGAATGATGGTAATTTTATACCTTGTGACATGTGTAAGTTACTTAAAGGTTGACATCACTATGCATATATTATGTTAATGTAGAGGTAATTTACATAATTAATGAGGATATGTTGAAATGAAGCATGACAACGCAAGCCCATATTTCATGGAGGTATGAGATCTCAGAACTCTTGTGATTGAAAGGTGTATACTCCTTGCACGTACTTATTACAAGAATTTGTTTTGAACTTTGAATTTGAGCTTCTCATTGGTTTATGATTCTCATAATTTTGTTTGTTTGTTTGAACTTTCTTAACTTTCCGATGATTTATCGGCTTACATGAAGTATAGTGAGTTATAGGACGGTTGGATTTTAGAATGACTGGCTTTGAGCAAGAAATGTTCTGTTGTGAAGCTTTTGTTTTTATTCATGGCACGTGGTATCTCGTCCTTTTATGTTCTAAATTTGATGTAATTAAGTTGATATTATTTCTGTCATTATCAATTATTACGAGAACCCTCTATTATTTGACCATAAATATTAACTGTCATTCTTTTGTTTTCCGTTCGCTTTCAGTGGTCGCCTCCCCTTGGTTAATATCTTTAAAATCTCTTTTGGTTTCGATGACGGTTCAAAAAGTTAGCATTTGTAGTTATAATTGTAACGGATAAGGCGACAGAAAGCGACACGAAATATTCACTTGGCTGAAGGATAAACCTTTTAAATCATTTGTTTACAAGAGACTCATTCAACGGTTGAATAAGAAGAGTTTTGGCAGTCGGATTGGGGGGGGGTGCTTTATTTTACCATGGTCTTAGTAACAGTAGAGGTGTTTTAATACTATTTAAATACACAATCCACCAGACTCTAAGTGATGACTTAGGGCGGTGGATGGTTTCAGACATAACTATTGACTCAACACGTTTTTGTGTGGCCAATATCTACGCCCAACACTGATGATCCTGACTTCTTCTTTCACCTTGAAACAACCATACATATTAATCACATTGTGATTTACATTATCTTTATTGACGGAGAATTTAACATTGTTTTGAAATCTGAAATTGACATCTGGCCATAATTTTAACGACCGCTTTTTCTCGGGCTCGGTTTTCCCCACATTTGGCGACTTGCCAGAGCCGACCACTTGTCAACCGGAACTAATTGGGACAGAACATGGCCCAACTTCTGTCTATAGGACGACCACGTCATTTCCAAGCGCGTAACCAAAAACTTTCTATTGGTCTGAAAACTAAGGAATCTCAAAAACGCGAGCTTTCCATGTGCAATCACTTCTTTACAACGGACTTTACCAGACTTGGTCGCAAAAGACTTCGGTGTGAACTCTCACCTATTACCCAGTCAGTACCACCTTCTTCGTTACTCATTAACTAAAAAGAGGAACCTGCCCAACCGGCAGGCAGTCGACGCCATTTTGGGAGTGGCCGTATCTGGCTGTAAGTCGAGATCGCCATGTTTTCCTTCAGGTAGAGACAGCAACAAGCTCAAGTGCAGGTGAGTTTTATTGCTTCTGTTCTTAGAGATACGTGAGATGTTTCATGTTTCATCGAGCCCCCCTCCCCCTCCCCTCTCCCTCGTGACTTTGTATGGTATGTTTTGGCCGCGATATCCCCGATATCGTAATATCTGTGTACATATCTTTGTATTTTCTGAAAAGCCTGTTAGTTGTAGGCTTTATAGGTGGCGTAATGTTGGTGGTCCAGCGAAGACTTCCTGGTATTAGTCCGCGCGGATGGTTATGTGGCCTTTTCGCCTGACCTCCGGGGTGGTACGTTCTATATGCGTTGTGGGTGTGTTCGGGCCGTCGAAGATAGCGGTAAACGTATCTCATCGATTCTAATTAAATTCTAATTTTGGAAACATTAGGTTCTGAGCTTCTTCGAGTACCAAGCCGTTACCCTGGGAAAATTCGTTTTTTCCATGCAGCCATGGTTAAAAATGACGAAAAAAATGACCCCTTACTTAAAAATTTACTTATTTGCCTTATTTACCCCTAAATAAATTGGGCGCAGAAAATATCAATCAAGTGTACTGATGAGCGGCACGGCACCCCTTTCCACCAAAAGAGTGAAAAATTCCGACCCGCGTTTAGTACAGAAATGACAGCCCGTCGGCCTGAGGGTGTCAAATTGCTCCGAACACGGAAGGAAACTCCGGTCCGAGACCTTATGCAGGTAGCTTATGTGATGCTTGACAACATTAGATAGCAACGATGCAAATCAGGAATTCATTTGCATAATCAATGAGACAATTCTATATATCTACTGCGTTCGATAATAGAACTATGAAACTGTTGTGACATGTGTAATTAACAGTGACAGGAACTTTGGCATATATTGATTATGCAAATGAATACCTAATGTGCATAATTATTTGAGAAATTGATATAATCAAATTTATAGCTAACTGCTGAGAAATCAATACTTGGCGTATTTGGAAGTTCAGTGAAGGTGAACATCATTAAACCTAATGTATTCAAATCAGGACCTACTTTGCATAATTTATGAGGAAATACTAGAATAGCCTTATTTCTTAAGATAAGACTGTCGTTAGGTACAGAATATGATGAACTGATATTATTTATGCAATTGATGCTCTTATCTGCATAACCATTGAGAAAAAATGTATAATTAGTCGGTTCTACTGTTAGAGTTTTACTTTGTTGGTGTGGCAGTTATTGTTGACACAAAGAATACCTTGATGGTCGAGATATTGATGCTTATGATGTTTCAAAGGTTCCTTCAACTCTGTGATCATTAATATAATGATCCTGTAATTTGCAGTGGTGAGGTGAGGTGAGGAGGTAATTTGCAGTACCGTGCTATAAAGATGAGTATTAACTCATCGCAAATGGGTCAAAGGGATGATGTTTGAAATCAAGGTTAGAGAAATAAGTACAGATGTCAGCAGTAAAAGTATTTATCACTTTAACTCAGCAGGTGTCCGGAGTAACGACCTGCTATGGACGAGGGAAAGTTTCAGAACGCTTTGAGGAGTGGAGACGTGCAGACCGTGAGGAGGGGTCTTCAGGCCGGAAGGGACATCATCAATCAGAGGTGGTTTCGATGGGTAACTGCAGCTTATGAACGTTTTAGGTTTGGAAGGCTGGCGTTTCCATTGATATGCTGTGCAGCTCGCATCCCATATACTGAATTGTCGTCTGCATGACATGATTCTTCAGCGAGCATGTGTACATAAAGACAGGTGTCCGATTGGTTTACAATGTCATGTCCTGAGATTTTGGAATTTCGTAGTGATCTTTATAAGTAGCGATGAAGTGACAGTCCGTGATTGTGATAACAATGCGCAACGCACTTTCACAAATAGATGTTTCGGCAAAGTAAAAAATAGATTACATGTATAAAAGTACTATAATTCTATCCGTTATTATGCAAATTAAGTCTTCATTTGCATGATTTGTATCTAATTGTGTATATTGTTCTTTCAGCTACCTACATACCAAAAATGATGAAAATAAGTTGTTCCTATCTGGACTTATCGGCTTTAAAAGAATTCACAAGAAAGTCCCCTGCAGTTCCAGAACAAGCTGCTAGGGGGACCAAACCCGACCTTATTCCTGACAGGAAAGGCTATCTGCCACCAAAAAGTCAAGACCATACCATGTTCAGGACAAAAGATACAAAAGACGTTCTGCTGCAGTACTAAGATCAGCCACCAGGAGGCCCATATTTGACCTTTGTCTATCCAAGACTTACCAACATACCAAATATCACCACAATCCATAAAGGAATTCTAAAGTTATGCTGACCACAAAGTTGCGGAAACACACAGACAGAGACACAGACAGACACACAGACAGACACGCCAAAAACAATACCTCCATTTTTCATGGAGGTAAAAAGTGTAAAACATTCCTACTATAGCAATGTACCTCCTAGCGACATCTGAATACATCTGAAGTCATGTCGTTCAAGATCATTTGGTCATAGATTTCTTGCTGACCTTGATTTGTTTAGATGCCAATTTTCAGTGTTCTCATAGTTTCTCCGTGTGTTTACACAGGATGGTAGGACTACTATCCATGTGGCCAGCAAGCACGGGCATACTGGGGTGGTGGAGCTGCTGATTCAACATGGCGCTGATGTGACGGCGAGGGACGAGGTAAGTACAGATAAGCATCTTATGTATTAAGGATTAAGGGGGCAATTAACAATGGTTGAGAAATGTCTACTATAGTACATTCTACTAATATTAAGTTTGCAATTAATTATTGATGGCCATGATGTTTTCTACCGGTTAAACGTTGTTCATGATACATACATGT